CAAAAGAATGTAATTATTTCAAGTGATCAATCACTAAAGCAGCTAATTTTTGCATTTTACTTTTATTTTTCAAAAAGCTGTCCATTTTTTGTAGTTAATATTAAATATTAAATTACCAAGTAATACTGTTGAATTGTGTATTTATCAATCAATGAAATGCATTTTTCGATTTTCAAACTTTATATGCTAATATTCTGAAGCAAAATCTGCATTCGAATGTAAGAAAACAAATTGATCTAATCAAATTAATAATTGCTATCTTATTTAATAATTTCGTGATTGCTTTTTAATCTATTTTTCTACTTAAATTGAAAGTTAAAAATTAAAATTTTATCTATAAGATACAATAATTTGTAAAAAATTATGTATTTTATATGATAGAATTGCCGATATACCACCAAAAATATCAGAATTAAATATCTGATTGTGTGCTAATATTATATAAACACTTTAGTAATTATATAATACTAACACATAACCAGATATTTTGTTATTTCCTAAATAATAACTTAAATAGCATAGCTGTTATTAATATTTTAATTAAAATATATCAAAATTAAGAAAGATATTTTCGCAGGTTTCAGGAAATAACTAGAACTGATTATTATATTAATTAAAAATAATTGTCATTTTTGAGCTAAAAACTTTTTGTATTTTATCAAACAAAGAGAACATCAATTTTAATAGTTAACAATATTAATATACAATGCTTTAATTGTTCAAAAATTACAGTCTTATAGTGATTACAAAAATGCACAAAATTCAATTGCCAAAAAAACTTTCATAGGAATATCAAAAATTTAAATATATTGTAATATTTTATAATTGATAATTCTTCAAAAATTTGTCAAGAATTAATGGGGAAATCAGTAAAGAATATAAAATCAAAATTTGATCATAATCGACATTGTTATAAAAGTAGGCAATCAATACTGGCCAGATAAGGATTGAGATCAAAATTGCAGTAAGATCAAAGTCAATATTGGAACTGATCTTCAAAAGATAAAATTAAAAATGCCTGAGATGTTTTTAGAGATTAGTTACTGTCCACGAAGAACAAAACCATTGTCACAGAGCAATAATTCTCCTACACATAAATATATGTGATTTTGATCAATCTTCGTCTTTTTAAGATCAAAATATATTTGAAATAATAAATTAAATAACACAACTTTTTCTCACGTACTGTATGAAGAATTTTAGAGTTGCAATCTCATAACAAGCTGCATGTAATCTTACTGTAATTTTACAAGCTTGTGTTCATTTTTACTGTATATCGGTGATTTATTGAAATGTTTACAGAGGCATTAAGTTGTTATGATGGCTCCGATTGTTTGCAAACGAACAGCTGCGAGAAATGTAACGGTATAGGATGTATGAGAATTAGAAGTTACAA